CTAGAAAGTCTCGACTAGTATGCTTCGCATATCTGTTCAGGCTGGAACAATAGTAACGGCGCAACACTCAGATTATTCTAATGATTATGAGATGGTCAGTTTTGATACTTCGCTCGTTGTGTGCACATTCCATGCCCGCGCGCTTATTTTTCACTTACACTGAAGGAGGAAACATAATCTGATTAGCTTCTCGAAGCTTTTAATCAGTCCGCATCATTCCGTTTCTCCAACTCCCGTGAGGAGTATGTCTATACTGTGTATTTGTTTGTGAGTTAAATTTGTGTTGCCCCACTGCTGAATTTCCAGGAAGGGTAGCTGGCCGCACGCTCAACCACCTATTTTTTCTGGGCTTAGGACCAGCTATTAAACTAGTCTGTAAATATACTGCAACTTACACTGAAACCATGCAGCGACGAATGGTGGCTGACCCCGGGAAGTAAAACAAATCAGCCTGACAATGACCAGTATTAGTCTGCATTGAGTACAATTTACTTCTTGTGTCACTTACGATGAAAATGCCAACAACATTATACAAATGTATCACTTATTTCAAATTAACACCCAACTTGAATATAAATAAAGAATAGGATTCGATGCCTAACCCACCAAATTTACCTGGTGGAAGTAACCTCAATCATTATTTTTCCCCACTATTTTATGATCCATCTAAAACACACTTGGGTCATTTTGCTAATGCGAAAGCAATATTTCTATATTTTTTAATGTGCTCCATTGAATGACTAGTTAGCAGATTGTTCCCACAAACTAAAGACAAAAAGACAGCAACCATGTAATTTCACCATAAACCAAATTGATGTGGTTTAAATAATACTTTTACAAGCCTGTACAACTAGTCTGTCCTACATGGATAGGAATAAGTATATATTATATTATTAAATATGCTTACTGATCGTACATGTAATTTATCATATTGATGATGCCTGTAAACTGGCGTCCCTCATGTACAAAAGAGAGAATATATTATTATTATTTAAACCAGTTTCAGTTCTCTCGTTTGAAGCAGAATAATTAGTCTTCAATAAAAATAAAGAACCTATCCTTGTGAACTAGTTCGCTGGTTTTCGAGTCGGTTTTAAGCCCGAGAAAACAAGGAAAGCTGGGCGTGGGGCTAGCGACCCTACCCCAGAAAGTAAATGCAGTCGCTACAGAAGCTTCAATGTACAAAAAACATAAAAAGGAAATTTATTCCTTGGTGGAAGCTGGGAGACAGAATGATGAGGACTAGTTGAAGCCTTGGGGATACAAGTTAGACTCTATCTCTCCTTTTGATGAAAGCAAAACAAACGTGGGGGTGTGGGGTGCTCGCACAATGTACGAAGCTGGGAGGGTTAACAAATTAATGAGAACATATGGCGTAGAAGTGCTGCGAGCCATCCATTTTCTTAACTGCAGAGTCAGCAATCTACTCCTATCATCCAGACAACACACTGAGGCAGTGGCTATCATGATTTCGTGAACACTATACAAGGCTCCCATGCAGTGGGAGTCAATCTCCTCCTGCATATTCTTCCAAAAGATTATAACTCACAGTTGTCACTAAAGATGCATCACAGAAGGGAGTAGGCGGTCTTGTAAAAGCACATGAAGGGTTTAGGGCCATTAAGGTTTCCAGGTCTCCTTTGATTGTCATAATAAGTCACCAAACAATTAAGTTCTTTATTTCCTCCCAGGAAATCAGATGCAAGCTGAAATATTGATGTGACAAAGGACTGCAGGACGGAAAGAAGCGTGGACGCTCCTCAGGGAGAGATGTGTAAACACATCCTTTTAATAAATATGTATTCACTTCTCATAGAAATCATGAAGTTTGCCGGTAATATGTTATGTTATGTTAGCCTCCATGTTACATCCATGAAACAATATTTTTGACCGGTCTGGAAAACTTTGGCATTTTCTCCCAATAGTACTAACATCTACTGACAAACTACGTTTTTATTTGGTGGCTTATGTCACTGGGCTGCCTAATTTATCCACCAACCAAAATGTACTGTAATTACTACGCCTCACATTGCTTCAGTTGTCGGATCTCCACATGATTCACAAATTTTACTCACACACAATTTCGAATGAGGATTTATATGTCTCTGAGAATTATCTACTTCCTAATATATTTCTCAGCCGGAGTACATAACACCTATGATGTAACTGCCAATGTGGCTGCCAATCCTTAATTCGGCACTAACCATAAAGATGGAAGGAAGGATACTCCCCTTCCAATTCTTAGGCAGTTTGTTTGAGTCTTCATAGTGCTGAAGCAGGTCACTGAAGGGCCTGTTTAGGGCTTCAGTCCTGTGTCCTAACATCGATGGCTGAATACCGTTGCCAACCAACAGACTTTTGTGGACTGAGTTTTAGCAGTTTCTCCGAGATCTCTGTGAGGTTACCATGGGTTTCACCCATTAGGTTTTCATTTAGTCATTCACCAAAGTAAAGCTTTTGACTCATTGAAGTAATCCCTGAAGCGCCGTTTATTTACGTTTCGAAGGCCAAACTGTGTTTCAGTCAGCGTCATACCTGTGAGTTACCGACCGTTTAAAACTGCCAAGACAGGTAGGTTTTCGTTCTGACGTAAATCGAGCTGACTTCTTGGGATTTGCCAGTGGCGTTGTGCCAAGATTCGGCTAAAATAACACCCTTCTACTCCTAGTGCTGCATTTTATTGGTTAGAGTGGACGGAAGCACTATCCCTTGGTAGCTTTTTCACAGACTTCAATCATCCCTTCTTAGCGTTTTGACAAGGCAACCCTTCCTCAATCTGGAGGTAGTTTTCTTTACCAACCTTCTCACTGACGGCCTATGCATATCAGTCAAAGTTTTTTAGGTTTGTTTTCAGTGACTGTAGAGAATTTCATCTGCTAGTTCATTTTTAAATCGTAATTTATCTGAAAATCAGCTGTAAATTGTATTTGAAATGTTGCGTGGTGAAAACAGTGTCATTATGTGATGTAAATACATAATCGGTAAGTAAATCAGTATACAGCGGAAAAGTTTCTTAACCGACATTGCTGACACATCCGTCTTCGTTTCCTGCACATTGGTCCCAAAAGTGACACAAACGATGATGAACAAAGTTGGAGACAGGTGTGTACCGGTCAGTTTCGCTTGAGGCAGACTACATGTTTTTTCAGCTTGTGCCTCATTATGCCGGCAGAATTCCGCTCTGAGTTGACTTCGCACTGATTATGAATGCCCTCGTTGTGGTTATATGATTTTCGAACTTCACACCATTCAGATTCGCTTAGTGCAACCGCAATGAATTCTACTGAATGAATAGAACAAGATTACTTTACGTCTAATGATGTGCCTTCTAACAATAAAGTTGCTTCCTGAATACCATCTTAGATTTCTTGTTAATTAGGTTACTTTTGGACTGTTGTACACTTTTTGTTTGAATGCGCTTTTTGTTAACTGTGAGCGATTCTGTTTTCTGCTATTGTGCTCTTGGTATTTGAACTCCAGAAAACCTCATATTTGGAAGTTTGTACCATCTTTATCTGATATATTTTGTTAAATAGAACAATAAACTTGCGGTTATTCAGCAGTTTATCGCCTGTTTTATTCTTTATGGAACAATTTGACTTTGCTTCGGATTTAGTCTGGGGGTACATGTGCATTTCTTCTCAGCGTTATTCGTGCATTTGCTGTTAAATTTGCTGCGAACATTTCGCCCGTAATTTAAACAGATGCAAGAAATATAACTATATTTGCCTACATTTGATGCGGGTATACCGAATGCGGAGTTTTACATGTAGATGGCATGCCCTGCACTTCATTTCTTGGCGTCATATGGTGAATGAGATATTTTTCTAATATTCTACCCTTCATAAAGATTGGTATGAGGCAGCAAGTGAATCAAAAAGATAATCATAGAGCCCATTTATCTCTTAACTATCTCTATTTCAAAGGGTATAATTTTGTTTATTGTGTATATTAACTTCCAAGTAAATTAGAACATATTGTAAAGAAGAAGACATATGACATTTCATTTGCCTCGGCTATACCGTTGCTACTAAATATAATTTATTCTACATGTTCAATAGCTTTACATTTAAAATGACATATCCACACAGAAATTTACGGATGATAACATCTAGAAAATTGGGATACGAACCACACACTGAAGTACTAATACTCAGGTACACATTGAATAAACAGTTCGCATGGAACAGAACAACTTGCGAACAATGAAGTAGAAATGTCACGTGACCCTCTTTTAGTCCATCATATGCCGAATGCCTCATATTCAGTCTAACAGTGAGTT